GGGAAACATCCATACACACTCATTCACACACATACACTACGGACAATTTAGCCTATCCAATTCACCTGTACCGTATGTCTTTGGACTGCGGGGGAAACTGGAGCACCCGGAGGAAACCCACGCGAACGCAGGGAGAACATGCAAACACCACACAGAAACGCCAACTGACCCGATCCAGCAACCTTCTTGCTGTGAGGCAACACGACATCACTACCTACTGCGCCACCGCGTCACCCCTGTAGTGTTATTTTACAGTTATTAAATGTATCTGTATCTGAATGCAGCTACTTACTTGAGAAAACCATAAAGCATGGTTTATTTCCCTTTAACATTTGTTCCATTGTACATTTATGATTCTTGTTTGTTTATATATGTAAACATTTATATTTCACTCCCCTACAAAATCATACCCATCAATCTAAAGTAATGACTTTCCAAATAGAGCTATTTAAGTCATCTGATGAAATTGTATGATGAAAGTTGAATGTGACATTTTGCAAAAAAAAACTCAAAACATAAAATAAACATTCGTCACGGACGTGACAGAAAAGGTCTGCGAGTTACAGTATACTACATACTTCGTAGGAATTCTGTGAATTAAACTGCATAACCCAAAAGAAATAATGATAATCAAAATGATAAGAGTTGCCTCTCTAATTTTATTTTATTTGACATTTTTGCATTTATGAAGGAAAAGCTTCGTTATGGATGTGACACTTTTGTTTTGGATGTGACAGATTGAAATTTTTACTTGTCTGACATTGGTAAATCAAATATAATAGTTTGAAAACAATGACATTTTTGAGTATTTTTAAAAGACTGGAAAATGCTTGCTTACACAAAAAATGTAGAAACGGTTTCTCTATTTTGGTGAAAACTTAATTTTTTTTATGCCATTTCATGCTCATGTGTTTGTGTGTGTGTGTGTGTGTGTATATATATATATATATATATATATATATATATATATATATATATATATATATATATATATATATATATGAAACAAAAATTGAATAAAGGTTAGGGGTTTATTGTAACTTTCCCCCCTCACCATTCTTTGCTCATAGCAAATTAACAATTGGTTAATGCAATTCCACCCAAGCTGTCAAACAGGCATCCGATATAAAGAAAACCAATTCAGAGTTCACATTTCATTCAAGACAATGAAGACAGACTTTTTTCTGTGGATTAACTAAATAATTGTACATCACAAAATTAGCAATGTGCGCTAACTCAGTAAGTAATGTCAATATTGATTTCATGTGGACTTTAAAACGGCTATAGGAAACATTATTGGGGGAAAATCTAGAATTAAGTATGCTAAAAGGAAAATGTCTGTCACAACCCTACTTTTTATTGATCAGAACCTCATTTATCACAGGGAACACAATTTATAAAATAAAGACATTTTAAAACATTTAACTACATTTATACTTGTAATTCAACCACTAAAGGCAAAAATCACCACAACACCGTTAACTTAGCCTGTAGCAGCACAGCTGTGATTACACATGTGGCACGAGGCACTTTAAATCGTGTGATACTCTTGCTTAACTATAGACCAGATATGTGTGCTACATTTTGTAGTGGACCCTCCAAAATTAGTTTATAGTAAACATAACAGCAAAACGTTCCAACACAATCACGTCTATATCGTCCCTCAACTCAATGCAGTCTGTCTCAACTGGCTTTAACCAGACTAACGTTACACGACCTTTTCCAAACACATAATTGCACTCATTTCCAAACAAATAAGCAAATGCGCTGTTGAATTCCCAAAATAAAAACCATGTTTAATAGAAAGCGGTTAATAGCATTAAATACCCTGCAGATTTCTGACTGTGAGAGAAGAAAAAATCACGTAATCCCTACCTTCAGTCACCACAGACACATTTATCTCACGTCTCAAATGTAGCAGCACGCGTGAGTAACAAAGTAATAAGCGGCCCTTTCTAATTCCAGAGCGCGTGCTTCCCAAAATATTCCCAGTCGCGTGCATCTAATAATCCATTGACGAATTATCGACGGCATGACAGCGCTCAATGACACAGTTTTTACTCACCGAGATGAGAATCACGTCCTTCGGGGAGGACTGCGTGCTTCAGGGGATCAGAATAAGAGCCCTCGCTTAATTCAGGAGAAATTTAGCGCGGAGATTCCTAAACGACCCCTTCTGTTCTGGCGACCATGTTTGTCCAGCCTGCCTGACTGACTGACTGACTGTTGCTGGTGTTCATCCGGGCGCTTGAGGGATCAGGGGGCAGGAGCTTCCGTGAACGGAGGGGAAAACGGGAAAGAACGAGTTGGAGACACAACCAGTCAAGGCAGCATTATATGACCACCTTTCACTTTAAATACCATCCAAATGGGTTGTAGCAAATGGGAATTTATTAGGCTTGTCATGGGCAGATTTAAACATTTGTCCTGGCGGGTGCACGGGGTTGTTGTATTTCTGAGGAAAAGCTTATTGTAACGGTTGGATCACGTGGTGAGATCGATTCTCGTTCACAATGGATCTCAGTTAAGATATAAATGCGCTAAGCTTCGGTAGATCATTGGGAATATTTATAGATTGTATGTCTCAGGAAATGGGCACGCAGTTGTTAGAATATGTGCTGTTACGTAAGAGCATTCGCGCGTTCACAACACATGCGCGCCACACGAGACTGGATGGGAGTCCGACTCCTTTCAGCGAGTCGGTTCTTCTAATGTTTCATTATGAATAGTATGAACGTTCTTTGTATTATCATATCTTAAACTGAAATATTTGAAACGAAGGTATGTTATTTGGATATAATTACGTTATATTCGTTTTAATTTTGAATTTTTTTATTTTCGTGAATTAATTGTTCAGACCTGTGTTTGATTCAGATTCATTTATTCGACTCAATTAAAGGATGCTCACGAATCGGGTATATACGTGAGACGTTCAGAAGAGCTACATGCAAAGTTCACTGAGTTCATCGTAGACACATTGAGGTAATGTTTAGGAGTGACTACATTATCTGTTTCCGAATTGTGTTTTATTGTTGTGTGCCTTGCTGAAGACAATTTATTTTCTCAAGTGCTGCTGTAATGTGGTACAGTTAGACAATGTATGGCTTAGGTGGCCGTTAGCATAATTAAAGCTACATTATTACTAATGCACTACGATATGAATTTGGCTGCATCTTATATTTTACATATATTGGATTAATTATGAAGTATTTTTATTACCTACATGTAGATACATTGGGGGACTAAAAACTCGTGAACATCACCCTCTGCTGATTCATCACAAAATGCACGTTAGTTAAACAACAAATAAATTATAAAACGGTCAAATAAATATGATAAAAATGAAATATTACATAAAAATAATAAATAAAGCTGAAATTTATTGTTAAAGCTCTAGTTCTCCTAAAAATGAAATTACTCAGTCACCCTTGGTTCTAAACCCTTGTGAGCTTCTTTATTCTGTTGAACACAAAAGAAAGCTGTAAACTAACTACTGACTTCCATAGAATGATTAACATAAATCAATGGTTACAGGTTTCCAGCTTTCTTTAAAATATCTTCCTTTTGTGTTTAACATTTGAAAGAATGTCAAACATGATTGGACCAAGTGAAGGGAGAGTTATGAAATAATTTTCATTTTTAGATGAACTATCCCTTATCCACATAAAGCCATCGAAGTGAATTCGCCTTAGCAGAACGTTAACATTAGATTTTTAGCTGATAATGTCCTTTGTGATTCATAGTAGTGAATGGCTTCCATCACTTGAGAGTCTAAAAGCACACACATTCACACACACTACGGACAATTTAGCTTACCCAATTCACCTGTACCACATGTCTTTGGACTGTGGGGGAAACCGGAGCACCTGGAGGAAACCCACGCGAAGGCAGGGAGAACATGCAAACTCCTCACAGAAACACCAACTGAGCCGAGGTTCGACCTTCTTGCTGTGAGGCGACAGCACTACCTGCGCCACTGCCTCGCCAGATCTCAAACATGCTGCAAGTAAAAAAACACATGCATATTGAAAAACACCAAAAAATTCTCACAACACATGCAAATACAAAAATAAAATGCAATTATATTTAACTGACTATGTTTTTTATGAAACTACATTTTCGATGCTATAAAATGAATCATGTGAAAATGCATCACATGGTTGATTTTATAATAAATACAGCTGTGGAATTTAACAATAATTATTTATAATCATTAATTTTCTTTCAGCATAGTCCCTTAATTCATAAGGGGTCACCACAGTGGAATGAACCGTCAACTTATCCAGCATATGTTTTACACAGCAGATGCCCTTTCAGCTGCAACCCAGTACTTAGAAGCATCCATACATACTCATTTACACATACTGCCAATTTAGTTTATTCAGTTCACCTACACCACATGTATTTGGACTGTGGGGAGAAACCGGAGCATCCGGAGGAAACCCATGCCAATATGGAGAGAACATGCAAACTCCAAACAGAAATGCCAACTGACCCAGCCAGAACTCAAACCAGAAACCTTCTTGCAGGGGTGTCCAAACTCGGTCCTGGAGGGCCGATGTCCTGCATAGTTTAGCTTCAACTTCTTCCAACACACCTGCCTGGTATACCTAGAAATAGCTTGATTAGCTGGTTCAGGTGGGTCTAATTGGGGTTGGAACTAAAATATGCAGGAACGAGTTTGGAAACCACTGCTTTAAGTCAACATTGCTAACCACTGAGCCACTGTGTCGCGGAAAATATGTATATTATTAAATTACTCAATAATTGTATTTTATCAACGTCCCCAACCCTAAAGCCGCCCCTTACAGGCATGTAAAAACTGATTAGGCCTATACCGACTATTATTCCTGTAAAAAATGGGTCATCTCGTTCCTGGAGGTCCGGTGCCCTGCAGGGTTGAGCTCCAACTTGCCTCAACATACCTGCCTAAGTGTTTTAAGTATACCTAAGACCTTGATTTGCTTGTTCAGGTGTGTTTGATTAGGGTTGGAGCTAAATCTTCTGGAATCCGGACCTCCAGGAACAAGTTTGGGGATCCCTGATGTAAAATTATCCATTAAACTGCCCTACCCAACCCTAAAATCAAGCTTCACTGGATGTTTTAGGGTAAACTGTTCCTTTAAGAAAAATCAAAAATGCCTTACTTGGTGAACATCGCCCTCTACTGCTATCCTGACACGACTAAAAGTGCTCCTCGATGCATGATAATAACTCAAATCAAATAAAAAAAAATCACACGGCACTTTCCCTTCTCAATTAAAGCATTAAAAAACAAAACAAACCGGTTACTAAGGCTTCAGTAATGAGCCACAAAACATTCAACGGTCATTCAGTTCAAGCAATTCCTGAGTGGGCAGTGGCTGGCTGAACCAAACAAAGCTCCTCTGTGACACTTAGTAAACTGCAGCGCTTTCCCTTTAGTAAATACACGAGGGTGGTTCACTTTTTTCCACTGTTCATAATTTAGCATGTTTTGGGCAATAATCAGACAATGCAGTAGGGTAACATTTTTTGGGCAGTTTGACAATACCACGACATGCTTTATTTTTGTGAACCACATGATGGCGCTGGATCTTAAATACAAAGAGCGTCACATAGTTCAACAGACTGTTTGCAAGGCTGAAGAGAGTGATTAGTACAATGAAATGAAGAGCGAATGTTGACCTTTCTTCTCAAGAATTATTGTGAACATCCAATACTACAACGTCAAGTTAGAAACGCTGACACAGCCGTTGTTACCTTTCATGAATACATCAAATGTGGACGCTAGTTAAGAAATAGGCTAAATGAAAAAGAGTTTCCACAAAATGGTTCAACAAATATCCCACAAAACTGCTAAATAAGGGGTTATTTTGAATCCAATTAGCATTTAAGATGGCCAATGTTGACTAGTTGGAGTAAAGTTGAAAAATAACAGTTGAAGTCATAGTTTAAATAGATAAAATTGATGAGCATTCTCTGTAAAAAAAAAAAAAATGTAAATAATAATTATTTGAAGAATGTGCACATGTGCATTGCCATGCTCAAACAAGTTTAATAAAGCAAATTGAAAGTAACCAGGCAAATTTCCCGGAAAAATGAGTCCTAAAAGTTCCAGATTACTCACCCATTCATGTTGTCAGAAAGCTTGGGACCAAGTCGACTAAAGTCCTTTTTAAGGGAGGATTAACCAGCATGGATCTATCAGAATTTATTTAACAAACATATTAGGCTACTAAAAGGGCAACGCCATTAAATACTTTTCAAATTGACTCAACTTTTAACTTTTTAACCTAATCAACTTTTTAAATTTCAAACACTTCAATTCAAATTCAGACTGAAGGTACAGTGACAGTAAAGTACTGGAATATGATTCTTTAGTCCAGCTTGAGCCCACTTGGTAAATTAAATAAATTCATCACACTGTGGGATTTGGATGACAATAGGTGAGCTTACAACACAAACACATGCACACAGATCAGGAATGTGAATTATGTCTTGGTCAGAATGGGCAGAGTAGATTGTGATTGGCTGAGGGGTCTGTCAGCATCGGGTTTTGAAGCTTGTGGTCAGATTAGATGAGAGAATAAGAGTGCTGTGGTAGTGAAAAGAGGGACTAAGATAGCAGGAAGAGTTCGCTTTAAAATCTTGAGAAAAACCGCCATGACTCTCACTGAGATTATCTTCGTCTTGACTGGGACTTGCGCCATCCTGGTTTTTGGAGGGAAAATAGCTAGCCTTATTATGATGCTCATCACGAAGCTCTTCTGTCCTCTTCCTGAGGCTTTTTTCACCTCTCTGGGGAAATGGGCAGGTGAGAGACACCAGCATTTTCATCTTGTTACCTGTGTTTTCGACTTGAGTGTGAGTTTTTGTATAAAAACAAGTTGACATATTTATTTTTAAAATAAAATTTCCTTGGAATTTTTTTCATTTAGAAATTCTTAGTAAATTTCAGCAACAACTACAAAGAAATGGCAACTAAATTAATTGTAATATATTGAATATATATATATATATATATATATTTATATTGTTTGTTGAACAAATTAAAGCTTTGAAGGCTGAAATATTAGTGTAAAACCTCTAGTGATATTATTTAAATTTCTTTATTTTATTATAAAAATATTTCAAAGGGACTGTGCCGAAGGAAAACGAATGAATGAAAATTATTTTAGTAACAAGATTGAAATCACATATAAAGTTAAAATAAGCAGGATAATCTTTTGGAAGTTAGGAATTAGCTAGGACTGTTGTAAAACTACAAATATAGGCACACAATCAAATACATTTTCAACTATTCAACTTACAAAGTGACTTGAATTAAGGTAAATAAACTGAAGTAGAATCTTGTATACCTTAACAAAAGACAGATTTAACTAAAAAAGATATTTCGAAGAATGTTGGAAACCTGTAACCATTAACTGGCAATGGTTAACGGTTTCCAACATTTCTTTAAAAAGTATCATAAAAAGTGCTTTGGAATAAGTAGAGAGTGAGTAAATAATTAGAGAATTTTCGTTTTTGGGTGAACTAACCTATTAAAAAGTAGATTTAGTAACATGAAATGATGCTGTCATGCCTTATTAACTTCTAAATTATCTGTATATATGTAGAGGGGCTCATTAAAAACAGGATTTTTAACATGAAAATGACAAAATAATATCCTTTAATAAAATTAGCACTATACCATAGTTCAGTCCCACCATTTATTCCAGGAACAGGCTTTTCATCTCACTTTAAAACTGTCACTCACAAAGTGCTTCGCTTCCCTAAACAGCTCATTTATTGTTGGCAAAAGAGAGTCCCTCCTTATGGCTTTCTTGAAATTATACTGTGTATGCAAGTTCAGAAAAAAAAAAAACAATCCCAGACACTTTTTCCCAAGCTTCCCTTTCCACTCCGTTCCGGCACTGAGTGTGGCAGAGAACAAAAGGCAATTAGAACAGCATGTTCCAGGACGTTATTACTCTTTTCATTTCTTGACTTTGAATGGTTGTTCCTGCTCATTTGAAATCAAATTAACATTACTTTTCTCTCAATCTGCAGCCACTCTTTTTACTTGAAACTTGTGAAAAGTTCTGTGTGTGTGCGTGTGTGTGTGTGTTTTGTATTACAATGTCTCTTTCCAGGGGGTGTTTTCTAGCATGTTTAGACATAGTACATCTGCTATTCCCTTCACTCTGAATAAATAATCATGCAGAAGGTTTTGCAAGATGCTCTACACATGCTAGAATCATCACGTCTTGAAGCACAGCTGCTTTGGCATGTTTGAGTGTGGGATTGTGGAGGGCGAAATCTACTAAAAAAAAACAACAAAAAAATGCTAAATAAGAATACATAAATGCACATAAGATTGAACATTTTATGGGCGCTGTAAAAATTAAATGGATACCTCAATTGCATTACCTACATACACAAATTTATTTGCAGTAATTTGTTTTTGATTTTTGTCTGCAAAAGTTGATAAAATTGTTATGTTTAAATAATATTGAAAAAGAATTTAATTTAAAGTTATATTGATGTCACTATTGTGAATGAGTATGTGTGTGTTTGCCTCATCTTTTCCTCTGCAATTAAACTTTCTAATTTAATAAAACTAAACTAAACTAAGTCAGGTCAGCCGAAGATAATCATTCAACATTTCTGACACAAAATATTTAGCTTATCTTGAGATCTCATTGAGATTGTAAAAGCGGGGCACTACTTGTACTTGTACACAAGAACATTGGCGCAAAGAAAGAGCGAACGCATGGGAAACAAGACAGAAAGACACAAGAAAACCATTTTCCCACACTGGAGACAACCGGACATTAGGTTTCAAACCTTTCTAGTCTGCAAAAGCAATGAAGGCAGTAATTACATCATTTCCTCCGTTACACACTGCATTTTCTCCTACTCCCTTGTTTCACCTTGTGCACTCGGATGGACTATAATAAACTTTAGTTGGTGGAGAGGAGATAGTCGGCGATGATGACTTTTCACACATATGCAGAACTCATGCTCTCTGTTTGTTTACTGAATCGGTGGGTACATACAGTTTGTTAAAGTTCTGTATGTGCTGTTAAATCAAACAAACACTGACCGCCAATCCTATGTAGTAAGATTCTCATAGATAATGATAGGAGACAAGTAGCTTATCATGTAGACTTCTGGATATGCTTGATTTGAGTATTTGTTTTATTAGGGGTAAATTATATACAGGTAGTAGTTAAGTAGTTAAAATAGTAATTAGATAAACAATAAACCTTAAATTGGATTTTTATCAGAATATGTGGGGCTTATGCTGCATTCAATTTCTTCTGGGATGTACTTACGAGCTGACAATCCCAAAATGAGCTGTGTACTAGTCACTTTCATTGGCACAAAATGGCGTTGTATCTGCTTTAGATAAATTACAAGAAAATGTTGCAGGGTTAGTTATCTCTGCTAGCAGAAAATGAAGAGCAAAGGATTCACATCAGTTGTGTTGTAACCCTCAAGATAATTTGAATACATGAATTCCACCCACTGATCTATACTGTCTGTAATAACATATATAATACTCTAATGATCAGTGACTTGTCCATGATTCTCACTGACAATCCCCCAACTACACTGTAAAACCCAACAGTCAACTTTATCAAATGAAATGAGTGTAGTTAACTCAAAATGTACCGAAAGTTAATTCAACTCATTTTAAAAGAGGTTTGAACTCAGTTTTGATGGTAATGAGTTAATTAAATACCTCATTACTTCAACTTAAATGGAGTAAGTTCACAGTACACATTTAGTTTTTAACTCAAATAGTTTGTAGCAATCGTTTACCTCAAACTGTTTGAGTTGCCTTAACTTATTGGGTTTTACAGTACTCAGTTGGTTTGAGTTCTCTTCATTTACTGGGTTTTACTTTGCTCAACTTGATTTAAAATTCAAATGGATTAAGTTCACAGTACTGATTAGGATTAGTTTTTGAACTTAAATAGTTTGTTGCAATCGGTTTCCTCAAATAGTTTGAGTTACCTTAACTTTTTGGGTTTTACAGTGTGGGAAAGTTTTGGGTTTCTCGCTTGTAATAATGACTTTATAGAACTGTTCATGTGCATTTAACTCGTATATATGATTTATTCAACATCAATTAAACACACCATAAATGTGGAATTCCTAAACATTTGTTATTATTGACACACATGGTAATTCAGAGAACTACAGCAATTTATTAACTATAGACTAAATATGATTTAATGCTTGGATACACTCCTTATTAGACTTACTGAGAAGTTCTTGTTCATCGTTTGGTTAGAAGTAAAAAGAAATCAGTGCGTTTATGAACTTTAATGGCATCTCAATCTTAATCCATAAGGTTTAGTATGTAGTTGGCCAACCCTTTGCAGCTGTAACAGCTTTAACTCTTCTGGGAAGGCTTTCCAAAAGATGTGCTTAAGGGAATTTTTGAAAATTCTTGCTCACAGTCTCCGCTGTAATGCATTTCAAAAGTGTTCTGTTGGGTTGAGGTTGGGACTCTTTGCAAGCCAGTCAAGTTTCCCTACACCATAGGTCTCAAACTCAATATACAGGAGAGCCGTAGCTCTGCACAGTTTAGCTCCAACCACCTCCAACTCACACCTGCTTGATAGTGAACACCTTGATTATTTGGATCAGCTGTGTTTGATTAGGGTTGGAGTAAAACTGTGCAGAGCTGCGGCGCTCCGGGAAATTAAGTTTGAGACCTATACTCTACACCAGTGGTGGGCAAACTTTTTAGACCTAATAATAATAATAATAATAATAATAATAATGTTATAATTTTTACAGTGGAGAATAGAAAAGATACTATCTGTTGGAAAAAAATATCATATTAACATAGTTCTCTAATCTAATTTGCACTGCTTAGAATATATAGATCAGTCATCATAAAACTTGATGAAACCACAAATCTTTGATAAAATTTCTTTTTTAAGTGGATGTATGCATGGAAAATATATTCTATGGCAAAAACTATTACATTTAACCAACAATTATTCTATAATTTGAGTGAAATTCACAACAATCTCATTTGACCTTATATTAAAATGCTCATATTAATCATTGCAAAACTAATAAAGATAAAACGGAAGAATCCTAGTCTTTGTTATTCCAAGTCATGTTATTATGAGGGTTTTAATGTGAACCCAGTTCCTGGTCCCCTTTCTTCGCAAGGGTGTCAAAGTCTGGAGTCTGCTACGGCAAAAACGCGAGGCGCAGCAGTCGGTTAAAATGCGAGGCGGCTGTGGGCAAGGCGCATAAGCAGCGCGCAAAACCCTTGCGGCTGTTAGTAAACCATTCAAAATAGTGGACTTTTAATGCATAAATATTCCAGCTCTGAATATAAGCTGACTCCAATTTCAGGGGATCATTTAATTCACACACTTTCATCAAAAGTTAATACATTTGGATATTTGATTATTTCAGATACAATATACTTTCAGGTATTCGTTCATTGCAGACCAGTTTTTTTGTTTTGAGTCACAGCTTGGGCTCACCAGCTTGATTCTTAGTCAAAGGTTTGCAGGCATCTGGCACCTTTTAAGTCGGCCGTCTAATGCTCGCTCTTTGACAGAAAAGGTAGTCTACCCAGTCTTTTACCATGCAACTTGCCAGATCAAAAGTGGTGAGTAATCAAAAGGCCTACGATGAAGTGCTTACTGCTCCCTTCACTCGTGATCCTCTAGTTCAATGGTCGCAAACTCAATTCCTGGAGGGCCACAGCTCTGCAGAGTATAGCTCCAACTAGCTCCAAATCCCACCTGCTTAATAATCTAGTACTCTTGAAGACCTTGATAAGTTGGACAGTGGCGTAGCGGACGGGCCCGCAGGGCACGCACCGCGGGGGGGCCCCGCGTGATTAGGGGGCCCCGCGTCGTCGCGATTTTCAATAAACTGTTGGGAACAACTGTGGTCGGAACCAAAGTTCACACGTCTGTGTTCTCTGAACACCTCTCAAGCGGTGGACTACTTCATTCTGATTGCTTGCCGCCAATGTTGCCAACTTAGCGACTTTGTCACTAGATTTAGCGACTTTTCAGACCCCCCTAGCGAGTTTTTTATGTGTTATTGGAGATTTTTTTAGACTGTCATTTTTCCATACTGTACCGTCCCTACTCTTCTCAACGAGCTGCGTGTGATGCCGCCGACCCCTCCCCCGCCTCACAGCACTGACAGGCGGCCCAGTCAGTCCTCAACAGCAGCCTCTCCCACCTGCAGCCCGAGAGCAGATCACCCCTCTGCGTACCGACGACAAATGATTTAGCACAGGCAGTGTGAGGTATTTCCCTTGTACAGTCAAACCGATCTACTTCTCCTTTATTTAAACAATTTATTTGGACCGTTTATTCTTTTCTTGTTCACAATCACAGATATTTTAGTGACAGTTTCTGAACTTGTCTGAGTTTATTACATGTGAGAGATTACTGCACATTCACTAACGTTACACATCTATAATGATATACTGTATTCAAACAGCAATAAATGTAGTTAAATAAACATGCTTATATAAAGTGTAGTGCAATTATAAATACCCCTTTATTAACCATAGGCTGTTAAACAGAAACGGTAGAACGTTATGACGTCAGTGATATGCAAATTGACGTATGACGTATCCCCCCCCCCCCCCTTCATCAGGGGGCCCCGTCAGCGATCCCTGCAGGGGGGCCTCTGCATTTTGCGCTACGCCACTGAAGTTGGATCAGCTGTTTGAATAGGGTTGGAGCAAAACTGTCTAGAGCCACGGCCCTCCAGGAATCAAGTTTGCAACCTATATGCTCTACCTTAATCCATGCTGGCTGTAAAACACCAAGGGTCAACAAAAGTGTCCTCACAATAACCTAGTCATAATGATTTCTGTCGAATTCAAAATAAATCAAATATAACATTTTAGGGGTGACGCAGTGGTGCAGTAGATAGTGCTGTCACTTCACAGCAAAAAGGTTGCTGGTTTGAGCCTTGGCTGGGTCAGTTGGCGTTTCTGTGTGCATGTTCTCCCTGCGTTTGCATGAGTTTCCTCTGGGTGCTCTGGTTTCCCCCATAGTCTAAAGACATGCGGTACAGGTGAATTGGGTAAGCTAAATTGTCCATAGTGTATGACCGTGTATGGATGTTTCCCAGAGATGGGTTGCGGTTGGAAGGGCATCCGCTGCTTAAAACATGAGCTGTGCTGTGTTGACCCCGGACTAATCAAAGGACTAAGCCGAATAGAAAATGAATGAATGAATGAATATAAAATTTTATTTGTCAGGTAAAATTGTATTATGCCAATTACACAATAAAACAATCAGAAAGCCAATTCAGAGATGATACACAACATCCATTACTCAAAGATAAAGAGATGCATACCTGACCAGAGATGTATGTTGCAGCATATAAGTCTCAGAGACTCACACACTGCAACGGGGTGTCTTGACTACAAGATTCCAATGGCATTTTGCACCCTTCCGTTAAATACTCAACTCTGAACAAACAACCATAAATTGAAGATAATAAAAGCTTCACCAAGACCTCTGTCTGGTCATACGATAACACAAACACTAATCACCCCTTGGGATAAAAAGTTCATAATTGACAGACTTCAGTCAATTCGGTAGGACAGACTTTTCCCAAACTCAGACAATAATTATCCTGGTACTAGTGGCTACTGCAAAATTGACATTTAAAATTATGCCAAACACCACAAGTTAAAGTTATAGATTCACAAGATACAGCATACTAAGAGGATGGAGATTTGGTGTGGAATGTCATTGACCTGACCTCTGATTGAAGAAGTGAAGGGGACGGCAGAGAGGGGGGCACATTATGGGTAACTGATGCAGTTGAAAAACTTGCTGTCTTGTAGATCTGCTACTCAGACTAGAAAGTTGATTGTTTTATTGCATCGCAAGTCTTGTGGTCTTGTCTCATGAAATTCCTTAACAGTTCTCAGAGTCTGATATTATAAAGAGATTAAGCCATCCTTACAATATTACATTAAAAACACTACATATTAAACATATTCATTTTCATTTTGGCTTAATCGCTTAATTAATTCATGGTCGCCACAACGGAATGAACCGCCAACTTATTCAGCATATGTTTTACGCAGCGGATGCCCTTCCAGCTGCAACCCATCACTTGGAAACACCCATAGACTCATTCACACACATACACTATGGACAGTATTAACTTACCAAATTCACCTGTACTGCATGTCATTGGACCGGACCACCCAGAGGAAACCCTCGCAAACGCAGGGAGAACATGCAAACTCCACACAGAAATGGCTCGAACCAGCGACCTTCTTGCTCTGAGGCGACAGCACTACCTACTGCGCCACCGCATCGCCCTATTAAACATATAATGTTATTTATTACACCTCACATAATTTTGTTCATTCATTCATTTTCTTGTCGGCTTAGTCCCTTTATTAATCCGGGGTCTCCACAGCGGAATGAACCGCCAACTTATCCATATCATTGTAATGTACATAAAAAAGTAAATTTAATAGGTTGTTAATCAAATTAGTCTGCAATATTTGATTTTAAGCCAGAAAATATCAGAACAGTAGAGATAGGATTCATTTGCAGCATTTATTCAGAAAAACAAAACAAAAATAATCCACCACACAGGGTTACAAGGCAAATCATCATCCAAAATTGAACCAAAAGTCCATTAAACACCCCCAAAACTATGGCGTAACATCACTAGATCCACACTGTAAAAAAAAAAAAAAAAAGTAAATAAAATCGTAATTTTACGGTTTATTTCTGGCAGCTGGGGTGCCGAAAAAAAAGTAAAATAACAGTTGTTAAATTACAGAAATTTACCAGGAGTTTAAATTTAAGGATATTTCTGTAATTTAATATCCTTTATTTTATGGTATATTTCTGTAATTTAATGGGTGTTATTTTACTTTTTTTTTCGGCACCCCAGCTGCTGGAAATAAACTGTAAAATTACAGATTTTTTTTACAGTGCATGTACTAGGAAGCAGGCAAATAATCAGCGTGAACAAAACAAAATCCAAATGCAACAAGGGACACAAAACATGGGGAACATAAGCAGTAAATCACAGACAGCTGCTAGCAATGAGGGAACCAGGGATTCAGGGGATCATGGAAAGTATAGTCCAGATGGCAAAAGACAGCATACAGCCCTGTGTCCGTAAAAGAACACTGAAGCTGCTGGTTGTAACAGATTTGTTACATCTTTCCATTAATGAAGAGCAATTCCTCTGTTTCAGTGATCACTGGAGGCTCAGATGGAATAGGAAGAGCGTATGCAGAAGAGGTAACAAGAATACCATGCGAAAACTAGAATTTTCTAATAAACATATGATTTCTGAAGGATAATATAACACTGAAGGCACTTCTGTTGAACACTAACAAATTCAACACAGGCTCATTGTGAACACATACTCATGTGTACATTTCTAGAGCGTGCAGATTATGTAGCCAAAGCTACGCAGGGCTGCATTTCATCTTTAAAACTAGCACTATGCGGCAGTATGAGGCCTACGACTGCTTCTGTTTCTTTTCGTGATACCAGCTGACCACTCACCTCCATGAAGATGGCTTTTCTGTCTTTACCAGTTTGCCCAGTAGCTTACCATGTACGTCGACGAACTTGAGACACAGAGAGGTGATGATGGCGAAGAATGGTTCCAAAAAGTAGGTAAAACAAAAACAAAAGGCAAAAAATTAAATAAACAAGTAAACAAAAGTGTGTGAGTGTGGTAAGCTCTGAAAACGTGGTAAAATCAGGCTTTTCTTTTTCTGGATTGTTTTTGAAAACACTGTCGGTTGGGTTGAGGAAAGTGGGTGATCGTGCCAAACGGTGCTTATGAAAACACTATTGGTTGGGTTTAGAGAATGGGGTGGGTGAGGCAATCAGTCAGTCGATAGCGGCCTCTGGTGGATTTACACAACAACAGGCGTGAATGGCACTCTGAGAGAAATTTGAGATCTGAAAAACCATACATAGTGGCCTCATAACAAAAACAACAAAAAACTTACCTCTTGGGATGTATTTCTCGATCTCCAAAAAAATGTATATAGGGGTATGTATCAATAATGAGCCTGGGTTAAAAATTTTTATTTTGAACAATGCTAACCACTAAACAGTTGGCTACCGTCAATTAAAAACATTCCTTTTTAGGCAGTTTGTACTGTATTGTAATAGTGCAAAAACCTTAAAATAGCTCTTATCCAAACATTTTATGGACATCTTAAAAACATTTAGTGTTTCCTGCATTTCTCTGCAGCTTTCGAAACAAGGGATGAGTGTGATCATCATCAGCAGAAATCAAGAGAAGCTTGACAGAGCTGCCAAAAAGATCGGTAAAGCTTTTACCGTTGAATTTTCAGTTTCTCAATAATGTTTTGAGCTCAGTTTAACCAGCGTTCTTTTCTTGTTCTGGCAGAGCTCAATACAGGAGGGAAAGTCAAAGTAATAGCTGCTGACTTCACCAAAGATGATATTTACGGACACATTACAGAAAACATCGAGGGATTGGATATTGGCGTGTTAGGTCAGTAGGTATCAGATATCTCAATGTGTCACAGTATGAGCTGCAGTAATGTCGACTAGAGTGCTGATCAATGTGACTTTGCTTTAAACAGTGAACAATGTCGGGATTCTGCCCAGCCAAATACCCTGCAAGCTCCTTGAAACATCTGACTTGGAAGAAGTGAGGTCACCTTTGGTTTAATGTTCATGCATGTATTATTTGAGATGATATAGTACTCGCATTTTACTATAGCATTGCACATTTTAGATGTCTTCCTTTATTATTTTGGCATGAAAGATGTATTCAAAGGTTAAAAAGTCAGCCTTAGTAAGAAGGTAGCACTTATTTAACCAAGCTCCAATTAGTTTATATATGGCTTCATCTGAAAGCTTTAAAATGCTGTCTTTGGAGGCAGAATTTCCAAGTGGAAAGACATCAAAGCACACCAGAATCCAAATTCTTCTCAATTTCTTGTCTTGTAAGGTACAAATTTTGAAGACAGCATATGCGCACTGTTAACATTTTTTGTAAATTACACAGTATTTAACTTTAATATAAACTGAATTTTACTGTAGGACTGTAGTGTTAACAGTGTGTCATTTGCTGCCTCCAATATTCCTCTATTATGTGCTTCCATTGCTGACATTTCAGCAAAAAAAAAAAAAAAAAGGTGTATTTATTGTCATCAGTGAACTGAGCGCCATTTTATATATAAATGTAAATTTTTGACCAACGTTCTCCACTATTGATGGTATTTCTAGCACAAAGTTTTGTTGCAATTGTAGTAAACAAATAATCCCTTGATTATCACGAAAGCTCTCTCTATTTTGTGATGTATGATTAAATATTAATACTGCCTCAGAAGTCTGTCTGAAATCCATTTTACGAGGTGCCTTTGTGCTCAAATTCTGCCTCCAGAGTCAATGTCTGATTGGGCAACTAGGCAACAACTCTGCAGCTTAAGCTTTCGGATGCAGCCTTTATTTCTACTGTGTAAAAATCTCAATACAACACCTTTAAATCAGAATTCATCTGCCACTTTATTAGGTACACTTTGCTAGAACCAGATTGGACCGCTCTTGCCTACAAAAAAAAAGTCTTAATTCTCGTAACTTCTCTGGCATGGATAGTTGATATTTAAGGTGCTAAAAAGTGCATCAATTTATTATATTAGATTGATCTTTGACAACTACATAGTAGGTATGTGGCTAAGGTAAGTTAAAATAATAAGAAATAATTTATTTTTATTTTAGCTAGAAGGAGTGAGTGAGCAATCTTTATGTCACCAGAGTAACCCATTTTGCTCATGAGTTTTTGAGGAAATATAGGCTATATTATACTAATAAATTTTAAAAAGGGATTGACAAAGATGCATTACGAGTTGCATTTTAATATATATATATATATATATATATATATATATATATATATATATATATATATATATATATATATATATATATATATATAAACAGGAATTAAACGGCATCTATTTTGCCTTCTTTTAAAGATTTAATATGAGTATTTTGTGTCTCCAGAATATGTCTGTAAAGTTTCAGCTAAAAATACCCATCAGATTATTTATTATACCTTTTTAAATCCTGGTCAATTTGAGCTGTTAAGACATTAGCTGTTTTTGTTCCTTGTGCCTTTACTTCGCATGAGCTGGTTCTCCCTGCCAATCGTTCCCAAGTGCGTGTCAAGAGTTTAGCCTTCATGTAGGTTTAGGTCACTTCAGTATGAATGTGGACACACTATACCTACACACAGTTCTGTCCAAACAGCTTACAAAAGGTGATTTTCATCATAGATGTCGTTTAATATCAGGCTTTGGATAAACAAAAACTTTTTCTAATTTTTTTAAGCTTATTGACCTCCTTTTACTCCAAAGAAATCAAAGAGCCGTATGATATGACACGATGCATAAATGTGTATTAAACACTAATATTCAGCCGTCTATATATGTTTGTTAGCTCATTACAAAAATATGCAGTAAATTTCACTATTTACATGTAAAACTAACAAAAGAAATAATTAAACATACCTTATGCCTTTTCAGGGTGGTCCTGAATAAATGTAAAATTCATTTATCCCGGAATTTATGTCCTGAGAAGCTGTAAACAGATCAGACCCATGGCCAGTCCAGGGTCCATGGCTAGAACTGCCCCTTTAGGGCCTACTAACACTATGCTATCTGAACCGTGCCCAGGCCTGTTTCCCGGATCGTTTGAGAAGTGTGAGCGCGCAGAATCGGGCCACAAAGCACGAAACTGAAAGCGAGGATTGACTTTTAAGGGACTGTTTCAAATGGATTTATTAATCATCCTTACTGTTCAGGAAACGCAAACTGTCATAGATTATTAAAGACGCAAACCTCTCACTGCACGACAGCTGCGCACCTTCAGCAAACCTCCTAATACCTACAGCACGAGGACTTTATGGTTGTTTATGAGCGTCAAACGTGGCTGATCCGTTCGACGAAATATTTAACTGCGTGTCATTGCATATCAAAAGACTTAAAAAACGAAACTACTGAAGAAATCTCCACTGTGCTGAGCAAGCTGTACTTCTGACTTGCGCATCACCGATAATGTAAGCGTGCCCAGGCCTGAATGTAATGTGAGTGCGGGCTGTCGGGGGAGACGGGAGGGGGGACAAGCTTGTTTTGGCCCGGTTCAAGGCAACTGTACATAGTGAGAGTACGCCCTTATGCTGTGTTCACACCAGACGCGGAACGCGCGGATAAATCGAGCTATTCACGCAAAATTGCCGCGTGAACATTTGAGTTTGCTCGCTTTATTCGCGCGTCAACCCCCGCTTCATTTGCGCGTCAACCCCCGCTTCAATCGCGTGTCAAATTCACTTCAAAACAGACGCGGATTCGCGTGATGGGCAGGGCTTCTGTCTGCCCGGTGACTCTAGCTTCATAGCTAAATGGCTAACATGGATTTTATTAAGAAAATAACAGTGTTAATGTGCTTTATGGAGACTGAAAAACAGCGTCGATACGTTTAAGGTCCTGTATGAGTCCACTGCATCCTTTCAGAGGTGCATCCAGCTCTGTGAGTTCATAAACTCTTCCAGAAACTGAACCTGGATGATAAAGACTTTTAGCGGTGTCTCTGACTGAGCCAAGCCCAGTTTGATGACTTGTTGTCGGTGTCGCCTGGAGGATTTGCCCCGGGCCACCATCAACAATCACGCCCCCACAAGAGCAAGCTTCTGATTGGTTAACGCGGCGCAAATGTCCGCTGAAGTTCAGATTTTTGAACTCGAGAGATTCGCGCGAAACGCTCGTTAAGCGCGTCAAACGCGCAAATGCTCAATTCGCCTCGTATATATCACGCTATTCGCACCGCGCCATTCGCACAATTCGCGTCATTCGCTCTGCGCCATTCGCGCGTAACGCGCCGCAGGATGTCTTTTCGCGCGTTTGCATTGACTTTACATGTAAATCACTCGCGCTTGACGCGCGTTCCGCGTCTGATGTGAACGCAGCATTAGTCTCCCTGCCTCTCCAAGTTTCAAAATAAGAGTCCCATGCAAATAGGAAAATATGATCATTATAATCTCACAAGGAAAAGCTGTGGCTATTTAAATGCTGCTGGAGGTGTGCACATTGATCACCCATGTGCAACGTAACAGTCAATGTTTTGTCAGTTTTTCACCTTGACTTCACACTCATTGGATTTACATGAGAATGAGGAAATACTGATGTTTGAGGCTCACGGTATTGTCAATAACAATTCAAAAAAAGTTTGATAGGAAGTTTCAGTATGAATTGCTATAGTTTTATTAAAACATAGCTGCTGAATGCGTACCTTGGAAAGGAATGCCAATAAGCTTTGGGAGTAAGTTTGTCTTTCCAATGGAGGTGCGCAACTTGCATGTATTTAAATGATGATGGTTAGTTGCTTTACTTGAAAGCTCAAATTTGATTATCATAATTTATTTTGTTTACTGAGTTTGAGGTTTACTGTATCATTATTATTGATACATTAACGTTTTCTCTAATTGTTCAGTGTCCACACTTTACCATTGCACAAACTTTCTAACATTTTATTCATCAATTAAAGAGTCTCTTTAACATTTATGCTTACTTTATTATAAAGAGACAAGATATTTTGTTTAAGTATTTTAGTTTTGACTATTAAAACTATTTGCCTTAGTAATGTTGGTAATTGAAAATAAAGTAGTTTAAAAAAAACATAATATTTATTAATGGATTGTTAAAAATTTTCAATAATTATCAAAACCAAATAATATTGAACATGAACATGTGATTATTTATTTTATTTTTTTTTTTTTGCAGTATCGCCCAGCCCTACGCAGTATGTTTTTCCAAGTACTGAACTCTTATTATTCAGATATGCTTACGTATATATAGGTTTTCATTCTAAGGCACCTTTAAGTGCCCAAAGTGTGCCAAGAAGATATTCCATAAATCATTATATAAGATGTTACATGTAATATTGTTAATGAAAAATTCTGAAACAACCATGCCACAACAAAATCCCCCATAAAAATAATTTTCACTAATCTTTTGTTGTCCAATTTTGGAGATCCTGAACAAATTCACTTACGGTTTGCTGTTGTTAGCACTGGTGTGCCACTTATTTAAGAATCGATGTGTTGTGAATTCAGAGATGCTCTTCTCCAGACCTCATCTGAATTACCATTGTCTTTCTGTCAGCTTGTACAAGACTGGCTATTCCGCCAGACTTCAGGCATCAACCAGACATTTTCTCTCACAGACCTGCTACTCTTCTGGCTATTTTCTCAGTAGATCGGCAGTTTCTGAAATATACATTTTGTCACCAACAACCAAAGTAATTTAATTCACTGCTCATTTAGCATTGCTTTGAACATCAGCAAATCATCTATATGCCATGTATTTATATAAGCAAACAGTTGAACAGTTGTACCTAATAGAGTGGCCAATGAGTGGAGAAATAGTTGAAGATTTGGTGTCATATTTGGAGTATGTACAGAATAATCATTTATGTTTCATCTCATGGTCTCTCTAGAGAATATATGACATTGTCAACTGCAATGTAAAGTCCATGGTTAAGGTGAGTAGAAACCAACAAAACTATACACTATAGCAACTCGATCACCTCAGTGATGAATTTCTTGTGTTGCTCTATTGTCTCTTGAAAAAAAAAAAAAGTTTCTTGTAAATGTTTAATAAAAGTTTAACGGGGTCTTCCCATCAGTCATTTATAAATAGGCCAGTTGAGTACCTTTAGTTTAGAGATAAACTAATTTAAAAGAGTGTGTTTCCATATTCAGATGTGCAGAATTGTACTACCAGGAATGCAGCAGAGGTTTGAACTTCTCTGTTGAATAGTTTTGCATCATTTTTTGTGTTAAGATAAACATATGCCAAACACAGCAACCATATGTATTTTCTTAGAAGAAGAGGAGTCATTCTGAATGTGTCTTCTGGAATAGCCAAAATACCATGTCCCATTTACACCTTGTATGCAGCATCAAAGGTAAATTTACTCAAGTACATGACATTTAAACCAATTGAGACATCATTTCCACAATTCTGAACAACATTCTGCATTATAATAGCAATGAAAGCACGTCAAAATAGCTTTATATTTTCACATGCAGGTTTTTGTTGAGAGATTTTCACAAGGTCTTCAAGCTGAATATATATCCAAGGGTATTATTATTCAGGTAGAGTACAAAATGTACCATGCATGCAAATGAATGTTTTTTCTTTGGTACATGTTAACTAACCACAGAATTATGCTTAATTTTTATCACAAATAAGATGCCAATCATTCCCAAACATATTTTTTTTCTTAGACAGTGGCTCCATTTGGGGTTTCAACCGCAATGACAGGACATCAGAAGCCAGATATGGTCACATTCACGGCTGAGGAGTTTGTGAGAAGTTCGCTGAAGTACCTGAAGACTGGTGACCAAACGTATGGCAGCATCACTCATACTTTACTGGTAATGACCTCTGTTTATTGAGTTTAAGGGCCACTCGTTTTTACTGGCATCTATGGTTTCATCAAACAGACTTTTGAAGGAATAGTTTTACACTTTATTTATTCATTCACCATGGTGTTACTGCAGTCAAAACTGCTCTTCTTTCGTTTTAAGAGCATATAAATTCACATAGACATTCAAATGTTCAAAGTTTAATGCAGCACTGGTCAATTAATCAAACTGAAATTGCTAACTCAATGGGGTGAATGCACAGGGACTTTTAATTCTCAGCAAGCCAGCTCAAGCACTCCCTGTAAACTGCCATGCCATTACAAAGTTTCTGCATTTAAGATCTGGTTCCTTTAAAAATTAATGATCCTCACTGCCTTGAATGACATATGATCTAAAGGGGGTCTCAGATCAGACAAGAAGCACTGAATTAAATTCCATTGTTTTGTGCCAGGCATCACGATCGCCTCACAGCAAGAAGGTCGCTGGTTCAAGTCCTGGCTGGTTGACATTTCTGTGTGGAGTTTGCATGTTCTCCCCGTGTTGCTGTGGTCTTTAGTTATGAGTCGTTCATGAACGATTCGTTCATTTTGAATGAATCTTCAATATGACTCAGGAACTACGAGTCCTCTCAGGGAGTGATTCGTTCATCCACGCTTGCACACATTTGTGCAGGTAGTATCGTTAATTTCAAGTCTTCATCACATTGGCAGAAGCCAATCATATGCGTTTAGAGCCGGAAAAAGAATTGATCCGCTCACCTCTCGAGTCCTCTATCGGGTCTGAGTCATTCGTTCCTCACGAGCCAATCATACGCGCTTAGAGCCGGAAAAAGAATTGATCCGTTCATCTCTCGAGTCCTCGGGTTTGAGTCATTCTGTCACGTGATGAACGAACGATCATGGCTCCTATTGGCTTAGACTGTGCATTGATTAAGATTATATGTGACTGTCAGTGTAACGTGAATGAAGCGCTGACATTTGAAGACATGAAGAGGTGAGCTGAGCAAAGAGACAAAAATGCCTTCATAGACAAATGAGCAGGTAAACGTTGAATTATTATTTTCTCCTTCTTATATTCTGTTTATGACTTATTTGTCGTGTGATCAACCTTTTGGGCTAGTTGTAGATGTGTTTGGAAGCAATTCGTAACATTTTAATAATATTTTGGCAAATTGAACTAAATGAACGAAATGACTCAAAAAAAGATTCGTTCATCTTGATGAACGAGACTCAAAGATCCGAGTCAGTAAAATGATCCGAACTTCCCATCACTAGTGGTCTTTCTCCAGTTTACCCCACAGTCCAAAGACATGCGGTAAAGGTGAATTGAATAAACTAAATGGGCCGTAGTGCATGTGTGTATGGATGTTTCCCAGTGATGGGTTGCAGCTGGAAGGACATCCGCTGCGTAAAACCTATGCTGGATTGGTTGGCGGAAACTGATAAATATTGGAAGCTTAACTTAAATACCCACATCACATGATCTTAATTCTAAAATAAAATTATTCACGTTATTATCAAAATTTTGTCACTGACAGTTTTATTGTCCTTGTCTCAGAGAGTTGTTGTCATGGATGGTTGAAGTAGCTTCAGTCTTTTTCAGTGAGAATGATTATTGTTCTATCATTCATTCATTCATTTTCTTTTCGGCTTAGTCCCTTTATTAATCTGGGGTCGCCACAGCAGAATGAACCGCCAACTTATCCAGCACATGTTTTACTCAGCGGATGCCCTTCTAGCCGCAACCCTTCTCTGGGAAACATCCACACACAATCATTCACACTCATACACTAGGGACAATTTAGCCGACCCAATTCACCTGCACTGCATGTCTTTGGATTGTGGGGGAAACCCCAGCAGCCAGAGGAAACCCACGCCTACAGGGGAGAACATGCAAACTCCACACAGAAACGGCAACAGACCCAGTCGAGGCTCGAACCAGCGACCTTCTTGCTGTGAGGCGACAGCACTACCTACTGCGCCACCGCGTCACCTATTTTTCTATTATGATATTTAATTTTTGCAGATAAACTCTTCACATACATCCTGCTGCTGCTGTGTAACGGGAGTCTGGAGTTTTTGAGCAGTCTGTATAGACTGGAGTATTATTAAATATTTGTGTCTCATGTATTGTATTGCGCCATATTTTTTATAACTACACCTGCAGATCATCAACTGGCATTTAAAACAGTGTTATGAAGTTTTGTAGAGATCGCCACTGTAGACAATGTATGTTTGTCTTATTTTTTTGGCATCTACATCAACAATACATCCAAAACTATTATTATTATTTACCGTTATTATTTGTACGGTTTACTTATTCTCCCAAGATGTTTTCAGTTCTTCTTTAACTGGAAGAGTCTCAGTTTACCCCCTAAGTGAACACCAGTACTCAATCTTTAGGTGTTTTATATTTCTAAAGTTCTTCTGCATTTCCACTGAGACTGATCATATGCTGAAGGCTCCACATCCTGTTCCTAAGGACTGATATTTTATTCGTTCTCATTTCAAAGAAGACGATGTTGATGCCAAATTGTACACTATTCTGCCATTATATATTACTGGTCTTAGCACTGTGCAGTATACTATTTTCAATGATTCTTGACTTTTGTTGCCATTTGTCTGTTATTTTCTTTATGAGTGTTGCATAATTTCCATCCAAACTCCAAGCATTGACCACAATCTTAATCAATTTTCTCTTCTGATCTCAAGCTATAGGCAAATGACTGAGAAAGCATCAATCTGAAGCTGCATTTTTATGATATCATCATGTAGATTTCTTACAAAGTATTTTACAGTATTTTAAAAGTACTATTTTGTATTTGAAATACATGCATCTTAAATACCGCCCATAGGACACTCCATGAATTACAGGTTAATCCTTTGGAGGTTATTCAATACAAAAAGCAACAAATCCAGTTGTGCAAATCATACTGATTTGAACTCTTCTTTGTATTTATTTATTTTAATTATTAATCCAATTTATTCAGTATATTTTAATGTGCCTATTGATCTTTAAACCATATAATTCAAAGAACCATTCTATTGTAGAAAAAGATTCGTTTTAGAGATTGTTAAATCATTCTTCACACTAAGATGTCTTTAATTTTGTTCTTCTTTCCTTTTTGAACTCTTTATTTTTATGATTGTGTCTCTCTTCTGTGCATATTTCTTAAGCAGACTGCATGTTTTACAAATAAATATTGTTTCCTGTTCAAATGACACAGCAGTTCACATTGTTGTTGCAAACTAACTAATGTGTAATTCATCTCTAGGGCAGGATCGTGCAGTCCATTCCTACCTGGGTCCTGCAGAGTGAAACATTTCAGCATCACTTTCAGGAATATGTGAAGAACAGGGACAGAAGATGAGAGATGGCATTCTCCGACTTTATACTGTATATAGTATTGCACATTTGATATGTGTGTTTCTTTGCACTAATTAAAACTGTGTGTAAAAAAAAAACGTAAGACTGGAAAAGAAAAATGACAGGCCTCTGTTTTTCCATGGTCCTTCAAAATATGCTAAATCAGTGTTGATAATGGAATCATTATTAATGGTAATCATATCAGCAGACTGGAGATAGAGGAGTAGTACTGACCTTGATAACATTAACGGAAGGTCAGTTTCACAAAGGCCAAATCACAGAGTCAGACATGTGACCTTGTTGTTGTTTTTATTATGTTTTCTTCCAGATTAGAACGTGTTAAGGCTTATATATTTTCAAACCATGGTTGCATTGCAAACAACATCCAAAAAACACATATTTGGCGCCACGCAGTGGTTAAATTTGGTTAAATCATCTTTAAAAGCTGATGAAATGAAATGTAATAATTTTGTCATTACACTGTAAAAACAAAAACAAAACAAAAAAATAATAAAAATAAATAAATGGGTTCCACACAATTAATTTGTGTTGGGGCAAAATGAAAAAAAAATTAAGCTAAGTTATTATTATTATTATTATTTTTATTTTATTTTTTTACAAATTTAAGTTGATTGAATATGAAACAATTAAGTAGCCAACCCCTCAAAAATTGTGTTGTTTAAGTTCAATTTAAATAGGTAGTATGAACAAACAGCAAAGTGAAAGCCAGTATTTTACTTTCATGTGATTAAATTCTCTGTAGCCACTTGAGGAAAATGCAAACCCTTTTTGTGTAGTTAATTATATTATTATTGTATACCAACATATCATAAAGGAAAAAAGGATTTGAAGAATGACATTAGAAAAAAGAAATTCTAAATCACTTGAAATTTTCAATGCTAAATAAATTTTATCTACATTTAAATAAATTGGCACTTTTAAAACACAACATTAATTATAACATGATAAAGTTAAATTCTGGCGATTCATTCCGCTGTGGCGACTCCTGATTAATAAAGGGACTAAGCCGAAAAGAAAAGGAATGAATGAAAGTTAAATATTAATAACATAAAAGTTTCCACCAATGGGTGTAATGTTGAAATATTCAGTATACATTCTGTTGTTGGCTCAAATATAAAGACTTTAATTTTTCTAGTCTTTGAAGTCACAGAATTAAATGACTTATTGATTCAAAATGTACGTTTCTTGAGTGATTTATTGTGGCATGTATACATATACATATATATAGAAGTCAGAATTATTAGCACCCATTTTTTTTTTCTTTTTTAAATATTTCCCAAATGATGTTTACTAGAGCAAGGAAATTTTCACAGTGTGTCCGATAATATTTTTTTTTTTCTGGAAAAAGTCTTATTCATTTTATTTCGGTTATAAAAGCAGTTTTTATTTTTTATGAACCATTTTAAGGTCAATATTATTAGCCCCTTTAAGCTAATTTTTTCAGAACCATTTCAGAATTTTCTTCAGAACCATCGTTATACAATAACTTGTCTAATTACACTAACCTACCTAATTAACCTAGTTAAACCTTTAAATATCAATTTAAGCTGTATAAAAGTGTCTTGAAAAATATCTAGTCAAATATTATTTACTGTCATCATGGCAAAGATAAAAGATCTTTAGACTATCAGTGTTGGGGTAACGCATTACACGGCAACGGGAGTCATATAATATTATTATTTTTCTAAGTAAGGAGTAAAGTAACACATTAAAAATAGTAAAAACATTTGAGGTACTTTTAAGTTTAATTAATTAGCTTTTAAAAAAAAATAAATTGCTGAATTAAAATGGGTCACAAAGACTCACACAGTCAATCAGAGAATGTGTTCATTATTTTGAACGCATCAAAGAAAATGAAAGGGGAAAAGGGGATTGTCTCAATGGACCGTGATTTTACTTAAGACAAATAGTACAAAAGTAGCAAAAACATTGCTTTAAACTTTCAATAATCCTAAAAAAAATTTTTTTGATGTGTTTTTTTTATTAATCTTTTATAGGGAGTTTTCACCTTTACTTTGGATAGGATAGTGGAGATTACAGACAGTAAAGTGCAACATGGCACAATATGTCTGCGCACAAAAACACTAGGCTAACTGAGAATCAGATTTATTGCTAAGTGTGCTTCACACACAAGAAATTAGTTTAGCCATCAAGCTTCCAGTGTATATAGTGACAACACAAAAATAAATATAAGAAAAGCCGATTAAACATGAATCATTGGACAGATATGCAATTAGACAAAAGCTCTGAATGTTGAATTGTATGTACAGATTTGTTATAAATATACAAGTTAAAAAGGTGCTGTGTACAAATGCATATGAAGAAGGTAACTTTAAAAAGTATCTTTCCCCAACAATGTTAACACTGTATAGCTTTTTTATAAAAAATTTTTTTTCTATATATATATATATATATATATATATATATATATATATATATATATATATATATATATATATATATATATATATATATATATATATATATATATATATATATATATATATATATATATATATATATATATAAATAAATAAAAACACAGGGGAGGTGGCGCAGTAGGTAGTGCTGTCGCCTCACAGCAAGAAGGTCGCTGGTTCGATCCTCGGCTCAGTTAATGTTTCTGTGTGGATTTTGCATGTTCTCCCTGCATGTGTGTGGGTTTCCTCCGGGTGCTCCGGTTTCCCCAACAGTCCAAAGACATGCAGTACAGGTGAATTGGGCTGGCTAAATTGTCTGTAGGGTATGAGTGTGAATGAGTGTGTGTGGATGTTTCCCAGAGATGGGTTGCAGCTGGAAGGGCATCCGCTGCATAAAACATGTGCTGGATAAATTGGCGACCCCGGATTAATAAATCCATGGTGGCAGGCCAGATTGACCTATGGCCAGTCCGCCCCTGCCTGTCAATCCTGCCTGATCTCACGAGGAAAAGTAACTATTTTACATATTGTCAGGAAAGTGGCTAAGTTGCATTACATTTTTAAAAAGAGACATGCCCACAAATCACACACCGTCCTCTCACTGGAGGCTTAGAAAATTGTACTAAAATGTCAGAATGAGATTGTACAAGTTAAAACAAATTAGCCACTAAATAAAATGTTAAGAATTGTTGTAAGATTGCATCGGTCAATCACATGTGAAGAGTTCATTTGGCATGACCCTCAGCATTCTCTATATTGTGCATCTGTTGAGTCTGCATGTTGAATGTTGCAGTGCAGTGCTGGAATAAACTAGTACACTTGATACTGTCCACTTTGGTTTCAGACACCGTTACAAATGTCCAAAGTAGCTGATTTTGAACACAGCTTATAAATCCATTCAATCAGAGCAGGATCTCACAGTAGAATAATTATTACTATTTATATTTTGGGCAAACATTATTAAAGCACTTGAAAGTATAGCAAGTTTTACCTGGAACCATTTATTATGTTTGAATTTAGATGTGAAAATTTGTAAAGTACATACAGAACCGCCTTTAAGCTACCCTGCAGTTATTTATTAGGCAAAAGCAACTAATATTGTACTGATTGGGTATTTTCTGTCAGGGTGGTCAATCTACCTGAAACGGCCAAATACTGACCCTCTGTTTTGAATGTGGCAAACAATTTCCTTCTTGATTTCCTGTGAGAGTCAGGTAGGCCCAATTATATCTCATTTATCTATGAAAAAGTGGTCTGTTTTTTCTCTGACCGTGAGATCGTCCAGCAGAGGGCAGGTTTTTGACCGCATTTGTGAAGAACTTGGAGGTCTTCAGCTGTAGAGATTGAATCTGTGTGTGGCGTCTGGTTTCAAAGATGTGCAGAAGATGCTGAGCAGGTAAAGAACACAAACAAGTGCAGTCTTTTGGGGGATTTCCATTTCACATGTAGCCCTTAATAAAGCGGTTCACCCTTGAGCAAGCCGTTCTGACTGAAATACAGCTGACAGGATAACTATCAGTTTCCGCACTTATTAAAGGTCCTTGTTTTTTTAGGACAGGGAATTTCCACTGATAACTTATAATGCTACTGTCTGCAACCGCAATGACATTTATACGGAATAAGGCTAAGGCATTGTAATAAACATTAGGAAATTATTGTGCTCAACATGCATTTTATTTTCTCCTCATTCTGTATATCTGTAAGTTAAGTCAACTACATTAGAGATTTCAGAAAAATGAATTCCAGTTAGCTGAAAAAAATCTAATCAAATTGCAGACCATCACAAACCAACCTCAAAATAACATCCTATAATTAACATATTTACAAAATTCTTTGTGATATAATCCTTTTTTCTGTAATTTGTAACCATTTTGAAACAAAATGGCAAACTATTTGCATATTGTGTCTTATATAAAGCATGCACACCAGACAAATTTGAAAAGTATTTCAAATAAATGTTAAGTGGTAAAAAAAGAAACGATTTGTCTTCCAGTTTTTACTGAACTGTCATGACAGCAGTTGAAATCTAGTTTTTTTTTTTTTTATTATAAAAATTTGATTGTTTTTACTTTAAAGGTAATGTCAAACAATACATTACAGGCAGGGCTTGACATTGACTTTTTTGATCACCAGCCACTGTGGCTAGTAGTTTTCCAACGTTACTAGCTCCATTTTCACTGGCCATAATTTTGTTTCTATGAAAATATATTTTCTATGCATAAATTTGACTTTGACATCGTAAAATTATTTGATTTAATGTCCACATGCCTTCTCATTTATTTAACTTTTTTATGTTGTGACCTTGCTCAATGAGGATGAGCAAATGCGTTGGGGTTTCATAGTGTTGCATCGCAATTAGTTTTATTTCACATGACTTTTTAGGGCTCAACACTATTTACCAATTTTCTTACTAGCCACACTAAACTAATTTTTTTTCCTTGACAAAATGTTTTAATAATGTGTTAAAACAAGCTAAATATAGCTGTATACATACACTTTTTATAAAAAAAAAAAACAATTGACAAATCAAAAATATTATACACTAAAACTATACACAGTAGTTGTCCAGACTAAAGGTCCCAGATCACTAGTAAACTATACATAGATGGGAGAGTTAATCTCCTATTAAGTGTGGTTTATTCATAAACTAATTTAGAGAGGATCACGTGCTTATAATCAACACGGCTGGCTCCTTGTTAGCTCCGTAATCAGCCCTATTAAATGATTACGGAAGCATTATAAATAACCTGAGTTTTCCACTCCAGTTATCTTCGTCTTGAAGCTCGCTTCCCGCTACAAAACGCTCCAGCATCGCACCATTTAACCTATCGATACGGAAGAACACACAACAACAACAACAACAACAACAACAACAACAACAACAACAACAACAACAAAAAACAACAACTCCAGCCAGAGCTCCACTCTCCCTGAGGATTCAGCCGCAGCCTCGCCAAAATCGAGCCTGAATTCCCGCAAAAACGCCAGCTCTTCCATCTCCACTTCAAACTGCCTCACGCAAACGCAGTCCACAACTCCACCTAAACTCTCTAGGCGTCGACGATCCAAAACATCGCAAAAGCCTAACTCACTGCTTCCTAGCGGTGCACCCTCGGTAACGTATAGTATGCTTTTAAGGGGAAGCATCGCGGAAACAACTAATCTCCATCAAAGACTAAACCTATTTACAAATCTTTTAAAAACAAGACTTGCGTGATTAGAAGATTCATAAGAACTCACCCTTCAAGCCCGTCCACAAATCCATAAGTAAATCACTGCAAAGATCACGACATTAATCCACGACATATTGATACGTCGATGGACCGCGCTGTTATCATCCAAACTAGTCGCTGGTGTGCCGCAGTGTCCTCACACAACACTGGTAAACAAACTTGGCCTCCGATCTTGATTGACGCCCCATCGAGCCAATAGCGAAGGAGCAGCGCCCTCATCCGCTTTTAAAACTCGACATGGTTCCGCCCTCTCAACAATTCATGAATGAACCATAAAAGACTCGTGAATGAACTGAGACAGACATGCTTGCAAATTAAGTCAAGATTAAGAATTTTAGAAGTTAAGATTCCTAACATGTATTTAAACAAATTAAGTAAAGCTCATAACTAACATTCCATTCATACAGTTTCCACTAAGTAGTGAATTAAGCAATTGATGTGGGGATTTGATATAATAAATAGGCTAAATAAATTGACAAATAATAATAATAATAATAAATGAATGAATTAATAATAATAATA